TTGGGGACGGCGTTAATAAATAGTTATTTGATATATAAGGAAAATTACGCTACCGGCAAAGTGATCATCCTACAGTTTCACGAAAGTCTCGTTCGATCTTTATTACTTAGCATGCCATTCGAGAAGCTACAGTCGGATCCGAGACAAACATCAACAGCTCAAACGAAGCGCAAACTTGCTGATCACAAGCTCGAAGAAAAAGAAGGATATACTCACGATGTCCGATGACGCTGTGCTGGCTGTTATGAGAAAATTAGAAAACAAGAATCAAGAGAAGCAAGCGCGATGGCAGTAAGAAGAATAAAAACTTTTTGTTCTGATTGCGACAAATTCTTTTGTCTGGATTGCTTTAATGAAAAGCATCACTCTACATAATAAAATAATTAAAGCATTCGCGAACATGGAATCAGTGAAGAAGTAACCGTCTCTGTTTACTTAGGGAAGAGAAGCGAAGAAAACGGTTCTTTTATCGTTTTTCTCGTTAGAACATACCGGTGGTTCACATCGTACTGAATGTGTTAAAATTTCTTTTAATTAAAGAAAGAAGAAAGGAAAAAGATAGTATAAAAAGGAAGGTTAAAGATGTGTGTCACAATACAGTTTTTATCATCTACTGCATACATATCAAAGATCCCTACGTATTATTAAAAAAAATTTGTTTGAATCCGTTCATGAAGATATAATCTAACTAGAACTGATCATCAGAGAACGGAATATGTAGTCGAAAGCTCGCGCGTTTAAACGTGCGAAAAGAAATCGAGCACATCTCTACTTTTTATCATTGCAACTAAGTCAAACTTAATTAGTTTTGAAAAAGTTTTACATAGCAGGGTAGAATTGAATTGTCTTCTCTATTCTGGAACCTAAAATTTTCCATGGCACTTGAAAAATATCTGAGAAAATAGAGATTTACGAAAAAGAAAAATTTTCCTGCCATAATTAGGAACAGTTACTCTATAGACTTTATAATCAGTTACACAGTAGTTCACTGTACGTCTCGCCGCTTTTGTACGTATTACGCACAACAAGAACACAACTGATTATTTTCCTTTTCTCTCTATTTTTCGATTTTTTCTTTCGATTTAGCATATGTCTGATACACATACAGAAAACCTGTTAGTTAGTTTTTTCTGTTCTTTAAGGGATCATTGTGTTATTCAGTATGAACGACTTTCTAGCCATGAGGTTTTTTTCGTTGATCGTTTTGATATACAACTAAACGGTCCATTACAGCGCATGGCGATTAGAAAGAGAACTGTGATTTCATGATATATAATCGCGATTAAAAAGTAAACGCGATTATCAATGAATAGAGGTGTGTGTTTTTGTTCTCAAAACACAAAACTTCTCCCCTGTACACGCAAAATCTTTCACTACTTCAGCTCCCTGTGCAGGAAAAACGACGGTGGAAAACGTTGCAGGTTTCAGTCAGTTTACAATGCATGTGATCAGGTATGCTAAGAATGGCTGTCTATTGTCAAGAAGAACAGACCTAGTGGAGGACGGATGATGTCGCATTTACAAAATGGGACGTGTGCCGTGCGTTAACCAGTACAAAAGTTCTTTTATAAATCACGCTCGATCGACAGGCTATTCTGCAAAAACCGTCCGCTTTTCCGTTTTGCATGGTATCTTGAGTAGACCCACCGGTTATCGCGATTCAAAAAAATCAGACGATTGGTTATCGACTAATCGACAACTCATTTTTACTACATAAATTTTGCAAAGAATTTCCTTTATATACTCATTTTCTACAGCGTGAGTTTATATAGCAAATAACTTCATTTAAATTATAACTTCACTTATTCACTTATTCGCTTATCTTAGAGCCTTGAATGACTCTGAGAAGCGAAGTAGCCGAAATAGTAGGTCTACAAGCAGCAGACCCGCGGTAACCGTAAGACGCCTAAAAGAAGAACCTCGCGCCTGAGACTCGAGTGTCGGGCGTGGATTTCTTATTCAATCTGATCAGGTCGCCTGGAAAGGGGATCTCATTCGAGGAACAGAGGTCCTATGGGTGTAGGACGCACGATTATAAATGTCAATTAAACGGATTTGTCGAGATTGTTCAGCATAAACAAAGCTTTGCGACTGTAGGCGATCCTGTTCCTAACTGGAATGAATTGTAGCTGTTCCCGATTTCTAATTTGAACCCGATGAAACGCGAGCGAACAGGAGAAATCTGATCTGTTTGTAGAGAAATCAGTTTGATTTAGACTGCAGTCTAAATCAGACTAGCTCTAAATTCCAACTTTGAGAAGCTGATGGAAATACTGATCACAGTCAATCGAGACTCAAACTCAATCGCGGTTTTACACGATTAAGTCGTGGTGAATGATCAACGATCGGGTAGTCCTTTGTTTGTTGGGTAAGCATTTAATAGCGATTTTAGTAAAATGCTGCGCTAATCGAGACTGTTATAAGACATGACGATTAATTGGGATTCTCTTTGGATTGCCATGAGCTGTGATGGACCGATTAGCCGGCTAGCAAAGTGATCAAGCCAAAAAAATCCCGTGGATTAGACCAAAACTAAAAATCATAGAATACTCTTTTCTGATCACCAATGAACATCACTAATCACGTTATCGTACTTCTTCTTCTCGAAGCAAATGGACAACTGTATGGATTCGACAATAGTCATAAAAATGTTTTCATCTCGTGTGCGGTTAGACTTCGCATTCTATGGAGTGATTTAATTTGTTATCATAGAGAAAAAAATAAAGCAAAATAGAACAAAAACATCTTTTTTCTTCTTCTTCTTTTAACTTATTCCGCTCCTCCTGTTCTTTCAGCTGTTCTCTATCCCATTCGTCTCTTGCATAATGCATGTGAGAAAACTGAACGATCTGCATAAAATTGTTCAGCTTTGTTTTCTATGAACGTTATCGAAGCACCGGTAACAATCTTTTCTAGAAATTCTCATCATGTTACCAGTATAATACCGGTACTGATCAGTACTAGTACCTTGCTACCGTACTGATACAGTGCGTGGCTACTACGAAATGACTGAAAATCCAGTTCATTGTACATGAGTATTTGCTAAATCTTTATGTAAGGTGAGAACAAACTCGGAAAATATGAAGTTCATCAGGCTCACAAAATACGGAAATTTTATCGACGCTACCTCATACAAAAACAGAGCATTGTAAAATATTTTCATTCGACATAAACACCGTAATTCGCTTTATTTGATTATTCTCGAAAGTAGTTAATGTCGTCCAAAAATCGAAAAAACAAAGAATTGTTAAATGTGCACCGACTTTTTTATTTTAGTGATAAATACAACTAAGCTAAGCAACTACAATTACCAATTAAGCCTAATGACAGACTTCGCACTGCTTTTGACTATGTCCAGGGTTCATGAGGGCTCTTGAGATAAATTATTAAAAATCCTAGTAACATGCAACTGCGGGTTAGTGTTATAATGATGCTAATACTTATTGTCCAGATATTTATTTTGAGATTTGACCTTAAAAGTTATGATATAATATCGCTTTAAACAAAAATGACGAATTAGTTTTATGCATCATCTTGTATATCAACCCTTCTCTTCATGTGAACAAATGTCCCACTGACATTGTACTATCGAATTCTCATCTGGTCAAAACAAATGACGACTGAAAAGAGTATCCTGTAGTTTGCCGTTTCAATTCCACTGTGAGAGCGTGTGGTAGCACGAGAGTAAGTTATGAAACAATATCTTAAACTTTTCCCGAAGCCTCGCAACGAATGATTTAATTTTAACTGCTAAGTGCAATGCCTACCGGGACTCTAAGATTTCTGATGTCATAGCACGTCTTTTTCTTTTCTTCGTTCTTTTTCCTTTTATCATAATAAACAGTTTAAATCAACCATTGAATGACTTTAAGTTTCTCATGTAGAAGAAAGGAGGAAGAATATACCGCCTTGCGGCTACCGTTACCGGTGTAGCGTGCTGCTGTGGTAGTCTCAATAGCTCGATACCTCCCTGCAGTTTGTAGGCTTCTCACATGGTCATCTATCTTGTTACTAGTAATCAACTGCAGCTCTGGCCAGAGGGCTAGTCTGACTCAGAATTCTTGCGTCCAATTAGCCGAGCTCCAAATAAGCACTTCACTAACCACGTACTAACTTTTCGGAAAGCCACGAGGAATAGTCGGAGAAGCTGTATTGTACGTCACAACGTAGTGAGTATACTGTCAGACGGGTGATCCGAGGTACTAAGACATAGATAACTTGGCCAAGATTATCACATAACCTTGCTAAGGTCGAGGTTTGAACACAGCACCTTTGAAGTACGGGATGAACAACATAACTGTCAAGTCATGCTGATTTTTCTCATGTAGAAACACACAAATGAAAGACAAAGTTGGTGGATTCTTATTCAGATCTCCGACTGACGATTTCCGGTTCATTTCTGCAGGTCATGCTGTTAAATCCCTGCTCATATCTCGTCAAATCGAGCTTCATGTCTCATCACAAGTTCATGGAAAAGAATCAGAATAGTTTCGAACATTTTCTCGATCATATTTAAAAGTCTACCGTTCACGATTTTTTAAAACAAAAGTGTATATCCTAGTCGGGATATACCACATAGCCTGATCAGGATATTGTCCCGCTGGCGATATACGCATAAATAGTTCGATAATATTTTCAGTAGTTTATATAGGAGTTAAGCTCGAAGTAATCTACTCTTTCCACCTGGGCTCCAGCTGTTTGCGAGAATAGTAGGCCAAAAACCGACCGCTAAACACCAACCCTGCACCAACGTCAGACAATCACGGAATTAATCCTGACAAAAAATACAAATATTACACGCACAGCAACGCAATTCCTCAAAACAACAACATCACCTAATGCGTATTGACTGTCAAACTTCTCCTATAACATAACTCGTCCAACATTATTCAAAGCATATGCAATACCTCCACGACCGCCTTCGCATACATCTCGATACATTTCTAATCCTTACACTGCACATATCAATCATACTCCTTCATCCTCAAATGACTAAAATTTTATCCAACATTAATCAATGAACCTGCAAAAACTGGATGACTACCTGAATTTAAATCTCCATACAAGCCTGATTCTTCTACTCCATACTCTAATTCTTGCTGTGCTTCTTTCACTGCATCGTAACTACACACCATGTCATTCGAAGATCTTCCAACATCCGGATGACTCAGTTTAGATAAATTTTGACATATTTCGATTCCTTCCGCATCGAACTTTAATCCTCTTTGTGCACTTTCCAACTTATCATAACTGCCTCCAACGTTGTCCAATAATCTTGCCAGATCTGGATGACTGACTTTATATAAATCTCGATACATTTCCTTTGCTTGCAGTCTGTATTCTAACGCTTTTCGTGCATCTCCTAGTTTGTCATAACTGTCTCCAACGTTATTCAATACCCTTGCCACATCTGGATGACTGACTTTATATACATCTCGACACATTTCCAGTGCTTGTAGTCTGTATTCTAACGCTTTTCGTGCATCTCCTAGTTTGTCATAACTGTATCCAACGTTATCCAGTACTTTTGCCACATCTGGATGACTGCCTTTATATACATCTCGACACATTTCCAGTGCTTGTAGTCTACATTCTAATCCTTTTCGTGCATCTCCTAGATTGTCATAACTGTATGCAACGTTATTCAATACCCTTGCCACATCTGGATGACTGCCTTTATATA